GCTGTCATGTGTAAGGAGCACACGGAGCTCCCGGGATTTGTACATCTCTGTTTTAATGTACGATTTTGTTTTTATAAATATAAATAAAGGGATGCACAGATACCAGTTTTGCGAGTACGAGTACTGGTACTTGCCGAGTACTTACAAGTACGAGTACTGATACATTTCTGTTTATTGTCATGTGACAGTTTTTCTAAAACAATACAGACTGAGGATTTCAGGACAGTGGTGGAGCGCCAGAGCCAGGTCCCAGCTGCAACCGCTGCAACCCCTGGTAGTTCTCATGAAAATGCCAAGTATCTGCACTGGTACTTGAAAAGTATCTGTGCATCCCTAGATTTGTTCTTATTGTCTGATTGATGATGGAACTCTTCAAGGATTTATTTCTATACAAGATTTCAGTATTTATATGAGGATATGTGCGGCACAGTCTTTGATTTTTACACATTTCTGCTGATCACTGATACGTGTGCTAGCAGCTGTAGTTTAGGAATAATAACCAGAGTGCACTCATCTTATATCTTTAAAATGTTTAATAGAACTTTTATTAATATTCATCATTTTCTTTACAGACATACATCTCATGATGAAGCTCACTGGAGAAATAGTTCATGAAGGAGCCCATTCAGTGGAAATGATCATTCCAGTTGTGATGGAGGAAAAGATGGTTTACAGCTGCTTACGTCGTATGTAAATCTTGACAATGATCTCTTATTTACTCCATTTTCATTTGTTTTAGCTGACACTAAACTCAGGAGTTAAATCTTAAAAATCCATTCAAGAACCTGAACTCTGAACAACAATGTATCTTATTTGTGTGTCACCCGGCTGGAGATCCTTCAATCATCTCTGACACTGTCCTTCCTTCTGGAGGGGGGCTACGTCTGTTCCCCATGGTCCCTGTGTGTGTTGTAAAGTAGTCACCCCCGGGATGGACTACAATCCTATGTTTAGTTCATGAATTTGTATGGAGATTGTAGTCCATCCCGGAAGCGAGCTTAGACCTGCTCCTCCATAGTATAATGAGTGAGCATTTACACCCTAGGACAGGAAGTTTGGTCCTGGTTAGTCACCAGATGAAAATAAAAGGGAAAAAAAGACCTGACAAAGGAAACGAATGTAGCCATCACATCTAAGGACGGGCAAGCTGCAATATATGACATGTTCTTAGGTTATGATATGCCTTAATATTCATGTGTGTCAATTAACTTCGATCCCGTAAGTTACGTATCCAGTGTAGGTGAATCCCAAGTAGAAAGTCACGTTTTCATCCCCATAAGGAACCGATGAATAGTTAAGGGGCAAGACTTCGATCTTCCCTTTTCCGAAGGCGCCCTTTGTGTACACTCTCCTGTTTTCTGTCCATCCGTTGATTTTTTTTAGCTTGTCCTGAATTAATTCCCTGTCTTTTGTATCACTGTCAAAGCGGAACGTGCGTTCATTTAATGGATGATTTAGAAGCTTTTCAATAGTGCCTCTGAAAATAAACTTCTTAAGGCCGTGGCCCTTTCCCAGAAAGAAAAGCACATTTGTTCTTTTCTTACGGACTGGGACATCTTTAATTCTCTTCTGGTGCAGTCGTTTAGCTGTTTCCATTGCAAACTTCAAAATATTGCCCTTGTTTGCATATTGTGTGGCGAGGAACTCTTCATCGGGCCAGTAAAGCATGAAAATAAGAAAGTAGGCACTTGCAGGAAATGTTTTTCGCTCATTCAGAAAACGTTGGCTTATTTCCAGCAATTTCTTGAATGTATAAAGTTTTTTAGAATCGGGCTGGACACTTCCAAGGGCAATATGGCACATTATGAGGCTGATCAGGTCACCATCATCCACTGTGTCTTCAGATATGTTTTTTGGGTAGCAGTTGATGATCTTCTCCAAAGCTGAAACTGGGCTTTCACCTCGTGAATTGGATAGCAATGACAGAATAGTTGCTACACTGCTACCTCCTAGGCTATAAATTGCCATCTTCCTGGTAAATGGGTTTCCTGCTTCTGATGCAGAATAACTTGTCCCGCCTACAGTGCAAAAATAGTCAGCAAATATTTTGGTCTGTTTAACTAACCAGTTCCTGACAGGATCATCCTTCCTCTTTGTTGTCTCCGAGACATCAAGTTTATCACCCTGAAAGCAGCCAACGTCTTCTGAAATCCACTCCAGAGTGTCATACATATTTTGGTACAGATTTTTTAAATGACCGTGCAGCTTTGCCCAGGGATCCTTCAGCTCTTCTGGAATGTATTTTCCATTAGTGAGGTATTCCACCAATTCTGCTTTGTCTTTTTTTATGTTTTTAAATAATCTTACTAGCAGCTCTAGCAGGCTGCATCCCATATCGACTTCTCCCATATATCCATTCATATTGATTGCATCTCTCTCATTATTTTCAGCTCTCTGTGCCGTTCGGAAGCTTTCCATGGACTTAAGGCCAAATTCAATCAGGATGATTTCATCTACTGAGCTTGGGTTCAGCTTATTTTCGGCTAATTTTACATTAAACCATTCCTTGTACAGGCGTCCTTCAGTGTCCAAAATATAGGAATCATCCGGCAGCTTTGCTTTTGCGATTTCCACCCATTTCTGTGCTTCTTCGAATTTATGTTTTTTATAATGGAGTCTGGCCAGCTGTTGTGCAAAATGTGCATCCTTATCAAATTGTTCATAGGCATGGTGTAGGAGCTGAATGGCCATCTCAGTTCCATTTTCTTCCTTACATACAGATTCTATTAGTGGTGAGAAGAAACTGTCTACATTGTCACCACGACTTTTCTTGTGACGTCGGAAAAACAAGTGTTTTATGAATGTTACAAATTCTTGTTGTGCAAATCTATGTTTGAGAGCGGCATTTTCACTCAGTAGTTCCATGGCGATTTTACTCTGAGGGTATGAAAGGGTGGAATACTGATTTAAAATTTCCTCTGCGATTAGCGGATGTAAAATGCGAATAGCAGAAATGAATGTTGTTTCATCCCTGAGTTCAATGATCAGCGCTTGGTCACTTAAGTCATTGAGATCATGATTTTGGCTCAGTTGTTTGTAGCCTTGAGTAACAAAGGACTGAATTCCCAGAAGGACTTCACAATGGGAAAGCGAGATGAAGGAATTTTGAACGTAATTATTTAGTAATGCAACATATCTGATCAAACGAGTTACAGGTGAATGGTGGTCAAGATCTTCCATCATATTCTTCACAAAGTCTTCCAGGTACGTCTTTTTAAACTCTTGGCTCATTAAAACAAAAGTAATGATCAGGTCAGGAGAAGGGAAATCTTCATTAAGTTCTTGAGCTTTGTCTTTGAACAACAACTTCTCCTTTTCTGTGAGCTTGTGGGTGATGGCGACTGTGTTGCTGGGCGATGCTGCACAAAACTGTTCTGGAGCATTGGAACGTTTACACGTTAAGAGGATAAAGCAAGTCTTTGCGCGTCTCACTTTTTTATGAGTCATGGCTTCTTGTAGAATGCTTTTTAATTCATCAATGTACTCATCGGGACAGTCCTCCAGAAGGAGGAGAACGGGCAAACAGTTTTTCGTGTCCCTTTCTTCATACTCTCTGAGCTGCACCGCGTGTTCACACACCTTTGGAATTTGGTATCGTGAGTTGACTATGGCACACCGTAAGTTCTTTTTATTCTTCCAGAGGATCTGCCTGGCCACTGTGCTCCCTCCACTGCCTGGCTGGTGAAAAATGTTAATTCGTGCTACAGGAAGTTTCACAGTGTCTTCATTTAAGATGCCATTTAGCATACTCTCAACTTCCTGACAGGCCTGGCGCTCAATAAACACACCGCATTTCTTCTGCTCAGCAAGCCACAAATGTTTCCAGCTAATTTTACCTCCTCGATAGAAATCGCTTTCAAGTTTCTTGGGGTCTATGGCCTTATGGTTGGTGTTTTCACACTCGTTTACACACAATATGTTAAGGGAATTCATTTTTTCTTCTCTCGGAATTGTAAGAACACAGACTCCTTTTGTAGAGACAGGTAACGTTCTGTTAAAGTCCTTTTCTGGAATCATGTCTTGAACTGTAGCATCAACATGACTCAGCTTCATACCAACAATACTTCTTTGGTCAAGTTCTGTTCTGCTACATGTAGCTTGTGCCAAGCCAGCCCATTGTTTGTAATATTCTTCAGACTCTGTGATACAAGTTATGTACTCCGTACCGCTCAGTTCTTCATAAAATTCATTGAAGGCTTTAACAATTGGCTTTTCCACAGGGGAAAACAGCATGAAGAGCACAATAAAGCATCCCCTTTTAACATTATCGCAAATTAAAGAAACCGCTTTCTTAAAGTGCTTCATTTTTTCCTTGATCCAAGATTGCTCATCACATGGTGGATCTTCCCCAAGGAAATTATTCCGTCCATTGCAAAATATCCAGCTTGTGTGCTTGAAGAACCCCAGATTATTAATAATGTCATCCATGTTCTTCCCGTACTCACTGGCATAGCTCTTCAAGGAGTAAATTTCTGTCAAATGGTATTCTTTACACTTGGAGTGTAGCCCACTGATGGCAGACTCTGTATCAAAATCAAAAACACTCAAGATTTTCAAGTATTTTAGAAAGTTTAGGTGTTGCAGTTGATGGTTCTCGCACCTGTTTGTGACAAGTACATACTGGAGTGTGTCATCAAAGTATTGTTTACCGTTTGTTATCAGCACAGATAGTTTTCTACCTAAATTCTCAGATCTGCGTGCTTCAGGGACATCACCCTTCTCTGCTTCCTTTCTCCTCTTATCAGCTTCCTTCAGCCTCTGAATTAATGCATTGATTTCCTCCTCTGATTTAACTGGCTGTAATTTTGTTCCCATTCTCTCATATATAGTTTTCCTTTCATAAAAGGTTTTATTCTTATGCTCATCAAACTTTGGCAAGCTCACTCGGAACATTTTCCCCTCTACAGTGATGGACAGAGGCTCAATATCTACCTCCACAACAAAGCTTTTCCCTTCTGACTTCACATCAGCAACCTCAATAAAGTCAGGGGAGCGAATACACATGGCTGCAGCTGCAAATTCACTTGCTTCGGGAAAGCACTTATCCAGATCATTTAATACATCTGCATACCAGTCTTTATTAGTAATTGGAATACCAACTATTTGTCCATGTGTGAAGCCCTTGTCTTCCACACTGTCCATAATGCCAAAGTGTATGGTTCCATTGGTTCTCGTGTTCAGACAGGCTGCAGCAAATCGAAAGGTCTCATATCTTAGTTTTGCCAGAAGTTTTGGCCTGTCCAAATTTGCTGCAGTAGCAAATGATTTGTATTCATGACAAGGAGTGATCAGATCGGTCTTGCCTGTCTCAGGGTTAAGAACCTGGTTTTTCACATATTTGAAGTGCATATCATGCTTATCGAATGGTCGGAAATTGCTCAGTGTTAGATCTGCTCTGGCTGTCTGCTTCTGAGCTGAGCTGGAGTTCTCCTTTGAATCTGTGACGTGTTTGGGAGTTATTGCCACAATTTGGTTTTTCTCTCTTGTGCTCATTGTCTTCTGGTGCTCTTCAGAAGTGTTGATGTTTATCTTCTGAGGTAGCTGCACCTCTTGGACAAGTTCTTTTGGTAAACTGATATTCACTTCTGTGAGTTCCCCCCCTATAGTGCTCTTCTTCTCTATGAGACTTTCCTCTTCTGAACTGGATTTTCTCTGCTTTTGTTGAAGATTGTCTTCTGATTTTCCAGTTGCTGCACTCTCTAAATGTTGGCCATCCTTCTGCCTTTGGTTTGTGGCCTCATGCGGTTTCTTTTTTTTTTTCTTTTTTTTTTTCGGACCTGCTTTGCCCGCTTGACCAGAATTATTTTTAGTGATGGTACTTTTCTGGAGTTCTTTGGGCTCAATTTTGTGACTGCTGATGGTCTCAGGAGAGGCTGACGTGTTTTGTTGAGGTTTGTCTTCAGAAAATACATTTATTTGACTCAAGCCTCCTACAATTTGTTCTTTTGTTCCTGTTGGGCCTTTCGTTTTTTGAGGTTGTTCAGACTTTTTTGCGGGTGGCTGTACAGGTACACTTGTAGAACAAGGATTAGGGTTTTTGGGTTTATCTTCGGTGGTTGTAGTCTTTGGATGTGTCTGTGATTTGTCTGATTGAGGAGCATTATGACATATTGGTGATTTGTCCTTAGAAATCTCTTTATTCTGCAATGACATTTCTGGGTGCTGCTTGTTTTTATTTCCTGATTTGATATTTATGTCTATTGAGCTTTGCTTGTGAGGTACAGTACTGTGTTCTGAAGTCTTGTCTCCCTTCCCTGGTTGCCCTCCCTTTGTCTGACATGGTTTTGTATGTTTCTGCTGGCTCTCCTCAGGTCTTTTCTCTGAATTAGGACTTTCTTCAGATTTATTTACATCTCCCTGACTGAACGTTCCTGAAGATTGTCCAGGCTCACCCTGAATATTTCGATTTGTCTTACATGTTTGTTCATTGTTTTTGGTGGGACTGGACTGGAGAACTTTCTTTTTCTGATCATCTCCATCTGTTTTAGAGTGGGCAGGGGGACTTTTGGACCGGTTTTCAGGTTTTTGGTCTGGTTTGCCCTCCCTGGTTGGTGATTTTCTTTGAATCTCTTTTCCTGCTGTTGGTGTTAAAAGTTTATCTCTGTTCCTGAGTAAAAGTTGTCTTTGAAAGTATTTCATTCCCATTTTTTCTAGATCATGTTCGCTGAGGATTTTCAGCACTGCTCCTGTAGCTTCTTCTTCATGGAGTTTAGTTATATATTCCTCTTTTAACCCAATTGAAGCCAACCAGTTGCTGACATCTCCCTCCGTCCAACATTCCAGAGGCTTGTCACCTAAATACCAAATACAGTCATTGAGAAATCTGAACACTACTGTACACTACTACGGGGATCATATCATACATCAGATCTTACCCAAACTCATGATGAAGTTTTCTTAAACTGTCCAAATCTGAAAAAGAAAGTAACAAGTGTGACGTGTGGAAGTGAAATCTATAATATCCGTACATCAGAATAATCTATTTGTATTGTAGATATATGTCCGCTGAGGAGTAAACATACCCATGGCTTGTATATGGGACACTATTGTGTATGACCAGGAGGCCTGGAAACAGTTTGTTTTAACCAGGGACATGCGGTGAGGTCAGTGGCAGGTGAGGCACCCTCCCCTGCATGACTCCGCCCCGCGGTCCCTGTGACTCACAGCAGGTGAGGTAGGAGGAGAAAACAATCTGCCTGCGGCTCTAATTGGATGGCTTGGACCAATGGTGCTTTGCCATTGGTCCAAACCATCCACGGAGCTCAAGCCTCTACCTCCAAGCCAGAGGATGTTGAAGATCGGTGTTAGGTTACACACAGCAGTGGGGAAACCCGCTGCTGTGTAACCACATTTCGCTATCAAAAGCCGAATGTTCATTACAGGCAGCGCTAGGTCCATGGCAAGTTACATAGTGGGGGGGCTTTCCCCACTGTGCAACCTGCTAGAAGCCGGTCTGAATGCAGAATAAGCTGTCAGCTTCAGACTTGAAGCTGACAGCTGTTTCCATAATAGCACGTGAGGCTCTGCCTCCCCTGACCGCATGTCCCTGGTGTAAACAGGAAGAGGATAACGGCAAACATCAAAACTCGGGGAATGAGGCTCTAATTAAATACTCCAGCTCTTTTATAATGGTGACTGGTTCTCGTTATATGCTTCTGTTAATTGTTTTCATTTGTGATGATGGAAAACCTTGACCGTCCTAAATCTGTTTATTGGTCTAGACCAGTGGTGGAGAACCTCGGCACTGCAGCTGTTTTGGAACTACAAGTCCCATGAGGCATTGCAATGCTCTGACAGCCACAGACATAACTCCCAGAGGCAGATGCATGTTGGGATTTGTAGTTTTGGCACAGCTGGAGTGCCAAGGTTCGCCACCACTGGTCTAGACCCTTGGCTCTCAACAGGTGGGTCCTGACCCCGTGTTTAGTGGGTCGCCACATGCCTTCCACTTTACTAGGCTAGAGGCTCCTCTGCCTCCCCCTAGCGCAGCACTGTCAGTTCTTGCATCGAGCAACCATTCAAAATATGCTGCTCGGTGCCGAGTGTCAACTTGAGGTGGGATGGGATGGGTTGGGGCTATGGCTGCGAGGGAGCTCCATGCATGCATGCATTGCTTACAGCTCCCTTCTGTGCCCTGTAGGGGTGTCTGGACCGGAGTGACATCACATTCTGGCTTTCGGCAACTACAGGGCATGTGAGGGAGCAGTACAAGCCGTGCACATATGGATGGAGCTCCATCACAGCACAGCGGCCCACACTGGATCCACTTCAGTTTTCCTGAGGTAGGGAGACTGGGGGGATCTTGAAAAAAAAATATGTCTGTGGTTGTCTGTCAGTGTTTTTGAGGGCCCGTTCATACTAGTACAGTGTGTTAATGTCCCATGTAATTAACGCACTGTACCACGCAATCACACCTACCGTGCATTCTGGTGTGGGATGTGCGTGGCATTGCCACTCATTTGAATGGCATCCCAAATGCACCTCCCACTCAAAGTTTAATCGCCTGCACCAGAAAGTACGGTACCGCAATGCTGTGCGTTCCATTGCAGTGTGACTTGGGTTGCGACTTAAAGGAGAATTATGACCTAAGGGCAAATAAAAATACCCCTTACCTTGATTGTAGTAGCATTCTTCCTTTTTTCTAAAGTCGCAGCACATCACAGATAAAATCCTCAAAACCTGTAATAAACGGCCATCTCCAGCCCTGCTCTGAGCTCCTTTCCTCTTAGGGGGCGTTAACCGTTGATCCAGCCCGCCCACAGCTTTTTTTTCAAATTATCCCATTGCTGTGGCCGCGCTTCCTCTCACAGTGCACAGCTGTGTTTTGTCAGCACGTGCACGCTGACATTTGTGAGCGGGAGGCGGAGTCTGAAGTGAAAAGGCAGCAGCAAGAGACTGTAAGGAATAAATGGACTCAGCCTCCCTGCACATTCAGTGACCGTTTCCCTCTCTCATCAGCGATCCCCAGTAATTAGGATGTCAGCGTCACACAGGGGAGAGAGAGAGGGGATAAAGACCCATCCCTCTCTCCATCATTTACCAGAAATGGGTAAGTCCATATATGGTGAATGATGTCACTGGGTATCCCTGCAGACTAGCAGGCATCCGATCAGCAGCGATCCCCAGTGACATCATTCATCATATATGGACTTGCCCATATGTGATAAATGATGAAGAGAGAAAGAGAGGGCACCTTCACCTCTCTCGCTCTCTCTCTCTCCCTCTCTCTCTCTCCCTGCCCTGTGTGACGCTGACATCAATCAAATCACCGGGGATCACTGATGAGAGAGGGGAAAGAGGGCTCTCTCTTCAGCATTTACCACATATGGCCAAGTCCATATATGGTGAATGATGTCACTGGGGATCCCTGCAGACTGGCAAGCATCCGATCAGCAGGGATCCCCAGTGACATCATTCATCATATATGGACTTGGCCATATGTGATAAATGATGAAGAGAGAGCTTCTGACCCGGGACACAATCTTCTCAATGCACTGCACACTGCACGTGAAGTAGGCGGGGCAGATGGAGAGGAGGAGGGAGGGGATCAAGGGCTACACAGCAGCGTGTCTGGAAGGCTGGCACAGAGGACGGGGACGTGCAGGTAAGGAGAGAGCTGCGTGCACAGAGCTGCTGCGCATGTCCATATATTCGTGGACGCACAGCAGCTCTCAAGAATCACTGTCAGTCACAGTGACGAAGATCAGTGGGGAGGATCCCGGCAGCATTGTCGGGATCTCTCCTCATTGCGTCGCTTAGCCCCGCCCACCATCTTAAAGAAGAGTTTGCAGGCTTAGGGCGCATTTTGGCTAATCCGAGTAAATTGCACAATTTACTTATTTAGCCTAAGGAATGCAATAATAAGAAAAGATAGAACCCCATAGTTCTCCTTTAATGACAGAAGACAAATGTGGGTCCTCAGGTTACACAGGTTGAGAACCCCTGCACTAGACGACACTACATGTAATCCTAGAATCAACACCACTAGAGTAGAGTAGAACACCTACATTCCTATGTCTGGGTGTGACATGACGGCATTATATCATACATAATGATTCCTTGTCTACAGGTAATACCTGTCATAGCCAACCGTACTACAGACAATGGTACAAAACCCCCTTCATCAGGCTGACCTCAGAGAAAACCACAAAACACCATATTGAGCAATTCCATCACTGACGTCTCTATAGATCTGCAGAGCATTGCTCCGTCCCATCTCCCCCCTGACAGATCCATATTGATATATTCTGCAGATTATTCCATCACTGACCCCTCTAGAGATCTGCAGAGCATTCCTCCATCCCATCTCCCCCCTGACAGATCCATATTGATATATTCTGCAGATTATTCCATCACTGACCCCTCTAGAGATCTGCAGAGCATTCCTCCATCCCATCTCCCCCCGTGACACAGTATTATTTGTATAGTGGACACTTACGCGGTGTAGAGCCGCTCCCATCTCTATGGTGTTGTGATGAAAGTGAAGTATTTCCTGGTTTCTGTCGTACTTTATACTCGCTGAGTTTCGTTTTTCTAGTCTGACTGCACAGGGGAGGAGGAGGGGACTACAGAAATCACATATAACGTGTATATGACTGACATGTATGCTGAACAGAAGGGTGGATATACAATCACACAGACTTCCATCACAATGTAATCAGGAGAGAAGGAACGATGTCTGCATGTGGCTTCAGTATCGGAAGGTGACCAGTTTTCCTGGGTGAAGGATGAGCATTGTGTGCGATGTCCTGTCTACACCAATCACCTCTGTGTGATGAAAGGAAGGTGACAGTCCGGTGGCTGTTGTGCAGGTTATGGATAACTTTTATTCAGAAGGAGGAAAGCACCATAGAGACCTGCTTGGTGGTATGTAAAGGAATTTTCCTCACTCAGGTTTATCCTGCTTGCTGCTGCTCAGGTCTCTATACACAGCGATTGGCATTTCCTCAGAATTAGCTTTGGAGGCCCAATGGGCTAGCCTGGAATGTGACTGTCGGAGACCCTCTGTTAGTGCGCATGGTATGGAAAACGGGCACTTGCGTGCGCACCGCGGACGGGCCGCGAAAAAGCACGCCAAGCGGCGCACAGGAAGTGACACAATGGGCTAACGGACCACACTATATAAACCCAGCCTGCCTGTCTCCAAATTGCTGGATTGTCGTTCAGCTCCCCTGTGTTCCTGTTATTCCTTTCCTCGTATTGCCAGATTTCTGACCCAGATATGTTTTTGATCATTCTTGTTTGCTGCCTGCCCCTGACCTTGGATTGTTACTGCACTTTGCCTCTGCCTCATCCCTTTGTACCTTGCCTGCCTGATTGGTGTGACCTTGCCTCGTTTGACCTGGATTACGGATCTTGTCCTGCTCTGCAACATCACCTGGACTCCAGCTTGCAGGGTGTTATCACCCCTGGCACCCGTGCCACTCGCTGTCTGCTTCGGCTCTCTCCCCAACTCCAGAGGTGCAAGGGAGGCCTCCTCACACATTCAGTCTCCAACCTCGTACGTGACAGTGACCTTCGGGCTCCGCATTGTGGTGCTGTACTGTGTAAGCCACAGATTGTTTTCCGAGTCCTGTGATCTTGTCTCAGAAGACTCACTTAATGAGTAGGCCGTGTGGACTCAACACCAGGAGATTTTTTCAGTCAATTTAACACGCTAAGGGACGCTGAGTGCTGAGATCATCTGTGAGGTGGCGTCTTGTGTGTGCACTCGGTATTGAGGATGCATCTTCCCACAATTGTTCCTGATCACAAGTGACACATCAATCATCCGTGGCTGG